CTCTCCTGGGCTCTGGCCTTTCCCCTCCTACCATATTTCAGCTGCTGTCCTCTGTATGGTCCTCTTCTCTATTTTGTGTGGCTGCCCTGTGTCCTCAGCCTCCAAATCTCAGCTGTGCCTTCAGACACATGCCCATCCCTGGTGCCCACCCTCTGGCATGTGTGTCTGGAGCCCACACTGCCAAGGGCCTCTGCTTTCCCAGCCGCAGGCTGGAGCAACAAAGGCCGTGGGCAGAAACACCTGAGCCATCTTCACTCACCCTCCTTCCACCCCCTCATGACTTGCATTGTGCCATCTACACAAACATTTCCGAGGTGACCTGAATTTGCAGCCATGGCCCCACAAGTAAGCAGTAAAACTGGACACAATACCACAGCATGCCGCCCACCTAGACAGGGCACCCACAGAGGTGTAATGAAAAGACCATTAGCACCAGCAGATGCTGCCCCCTCTGCTGCCCGCAGGCCCCACTCCCTCGAGGGGGACCCCTGGTCACTTGGGCATGTGTCACACGCAGGAGCCTCACGCTTCCTGGCCTCTCCGGCTGTGGTCTCAGCCACAAGCCACATACACACCCACCCCAGGTGCACGCATGCTGAGGTCAGCGACATCTACACTTCCCAGGGAATCACCCCATCCCCGGGGTGCTCACTGCTGTCCCTGCCACCCTCAGCTCTGGCCACCGCCACTCACCAACAGCCCCTGCACTGAGGCAGGACCTTTGCATGTGACTGACCACGGGTCGAGGGGACGGAGAGCAATCTCCACACCCAGCCTCCCTGCCCCACTCTCTGCTGTGGTCTCCACCCTCAGCCACATGCCCACTGCCCTAAAGTGGGTCTGCACCCTCACTCTAGAGTGAACAGGCCACACCCACAGAATGTCCTTCGGAGGCTCATGCCCTCCACACCAGCTTTTGGCTTATCTCAATGACTCTCTGAGCCCTCTCTGGCCTGCTGAAGAGACCCTTCCACCAGGCTGCTGTAGGCCACCCCAATTCTCAACTTCTGGGAGACCAGATGATCACCCACCCTCCCCACAGCCCCACAGACAGGGCATCTACCTACCAGAGTCCCCACCTCTGGGAGATGGTGAGACCCAGTCCAGCGTTGTCTCCTGCATCAGCACCAGCGGTTCTAATGGGAGTAGGATCCTTTATTCCCAATGTGTCTGCACCCTCAGGGTCCTGGGGGTTCCTCACAGGTGTCCCCTCCACCTCTCGTCCCACAACTCCAGGGTCTTGTCCAACTTGTCCAGCTGCCATGGCATCTCCCACTGTGTCCTGAACCCACAGGTAGCTGCAAGGGACAATCCCCCACCCCCTGTCTGAGGAGAGCCACGTCTGCACACTGTCTACAATATGTGCACAGTCCTCCGCTAGTAGGTTGGGAGGCCACAGAGAGGAGGCAAAACCCTCAGAAGAGAAAAACCTGTGGAGAATTAGTCTCCGCCACGAATATATGAGACGCAAAATCCGAGGAAAAATGACACTGAACCTGAGAAGTACTCTTGAGCACAGTCCCTGAGATGTAAAATATGAGGAAAAGTGACACTCTGGGAACCAGACTATGCAGAAAACATGGCGTATGAAAGGAAAAGCCTGAAGAGAAATACTCTTGGAGCACATAGTCTGAGACACTAAATCTGAGGGGAAAATGACACTTTGGGAACCAGTCTCTGGAAATGCAGGCCTCTGAGATAGAAAACCTGAGAATTACTCTTTGGGTACAAGTGTCTGATATACAAATTTCTGAGGAAAAGTGACACTTTGGGGCGTAGTGTCTGAGGAAAATGCAGTCCTCTGAGAAGAGAAACCTGAGAAGTACTCTGGGGGAAACAGAGAAGCAAAATCTGAGGGAAAATGACACTTTGGGAGCCAGTGTCTGAGGAAAACAAGGTCTCTGAGAAGAAAAACCTGAGGAGAAACACTTAGGGCACAAGTGACTGAGACACAAAATTTGACGAAAAGTGACACTTTGGGAGCCAGTGTCTGAGGAAAACGCAGGCCCCTGGGAAGCATTCATGGGGCACTGGCAAGGGGCAGGAACCTAGGTGGGCAGCAGCATGCTGAGGAAAACCCTGGCTGAGAAGAGCTTGCTCCGCCAGCAGAGCTCCCAAGGGTGCAGGCAGCAGACAGACCTTACCTTCCAAATGCCAAGGAAAAGGGGCCCAGCACGAGGTCATTTGTACAGAGGGTCCCACTCTGGGTGAAAGGACTAGACTTCCCGACTCGAGACCCCATGTGTCGAGGCCTGTCAGCACCACTGACGAATCCACCAGTCTCAAGTCCCCCGCCCCCGTGGGCAAGGACCGGCCACAGCAGGCCCCACCATAGGTGACTCGAGTCTGACACGCTGTTCCTTTTGAAGTAATGCTGGCTACATGAAATACAACAAAACAGTGAAACATTTGATAATACAATTTTCTTTATTAAAAATAATTTACAGCATCAACGCCATATACACGGTCACCAGCTGATTCTGCCTCCGATATATTTCTATACAAGCTGAACATTACTGAACTTAAACCTGTGACACTGCCTTGGGGCTTAAAATACAACAATCTGCATTGGCTTGACTGCCCGCAGGCCTCCAGGTCGTCCGGCATCACCCCAAGCCACACTGCACCGCACAGCAACCCGCCTCTGCCCCAGCCAGGAGGCAGAAGGCCGGTTCCTCCGGCCGACTGCAGCTCCATCCCGCGCAGGGCGCCTCCTGGGGTGTGGGGGCCGCTCAGACGGAGCCAAGACCCCTCACTCCGCTGGGAGGTAAAACAGAAAATGGACGGCGCCTTGGAGATGAGCTACAAGGCGCCGGCGTCGCGCCGTAGGGGCAGGGCATCCGCGGAGGGTTTCGGCGGACGCGAGGCGCCTACGTGCCCAGCCTGACCGCGGCTGCAGGGTACGCTCCTTCCCCAGGGTCGCCAGGACACGGGCGACAATGCAGGTGAGTGAAACAATGAAGACTGAGGCCACTTCTGGAAATACAGCATCTGGCTGGAGGCAGAGCCCCGCGCACGGCGTCCGCCCTGGCCCCTTCCGCCAGGCCGCCTGGGCCCCGCTCACACTGCAAGAGGCCTGCGAGTGTCCAAGACCTGCTCATACAGTCGCGGTCACAGCCCTGCCCGCCTGTCCCTGCGCCCCGGGAACTCTGGCCTGGAAGCTCCCCCCACCCCCACCCCCGTGTCTCCAAAGGTCTGAAGAGAGGCGCCGACAGGCACCCCGTGGGGGGAGGCCTGTTGGGAGCAGCAGGACCCAGAGTCCTAGGTGGCGCCCGAGCGGGCAGCTCAGCACACAACTGCAGAGGGCGCTCGACCGGCCTCGCGCCCACGGGCAGCCTGCCCGCCGATGTGACGGCTCAGCAGCTGAACTTCAGAACAGCCGAGTCCTACGGGAGGCAACAGGCGGCTCCGTGCAGACTCGACCCGCAGCCGGCCACTCCCAGGCCTGAGGAGACCGCAGGCCCTGTGAACGCTATCCCCACCCTCGGGGCGGCGGCCCCCCGCCTCGCTGACGGGCGTTGGATGGGGCAGACGCCGGCGGCTGGCGCCACGACCCGAGAAGAGCCCCCCCCGAGCGGCAGCCCCAAGGCTGGAAACCCCCTTGGACGACGGGCCAGGGGCCAACACTGCCGGACGCCGAGGGCCGGCGGGTGCCGCGGAAGCTTCTCTCCACACAGGGCGACGCCGACTCTGGGGGCGGCGCTGACCGGACACAGGA